TCATGCACCCAGCTACAGAGTCCCCAGACTCCTGCATCCCAGTCTAAGGAGGGAAGTAGATACACTCAGGTCTGGCAGCTGCAAGGCAGAGCATCCCACTGCATGTGTGCAAGTTGTCTTCCAGGTCTTAAATCTGCCCCTTGGAGCTGCCCTCTCCTGGCACTGCCACCTGGCCAAGCATGGCTTCCTGCCCTAGCTAGCTTCCATGGCTAGTTTTTCTGGTCATGGCTAGGTTTTCTGCTCCCCTCAGCTATCTGTCAGGCTTCTCGGCTTTTGCTGAGGCTGTGCGGTTACCACAAACAAATTCCTCTCTGGAAGCTGTTTTGGTCTATACTATACGTAGATTGTCCTCCCCAGCCCAGTGTGATATCTCCCTTGTGCTGGAACAGCCATGGGAAATCAAGCTATTGGAAGCCAGTCAGTCAAAACAAACATCCCCACAAGGCTCCAGTCACCTTCAGTTTTTCACAGTGGCAGGCAAACAGCTCCCACAGGAAGGAGGGCAGGCAGGAGCTGAGGCAGCTGCAAGGGAGGATTCCCACGGCAGCGCTTGCCCAAACAACGACCCAAGTGCATGGACTTCCAAGAGCTAACCACCAGAAAAGCAGATTTTTGACAAAAGCCCTTCTCCAGAGAGTTCAGCCGATAGTCCCCAGAGGAGCACTCCTCATGTTGGAGAAGGCATGGACAACCAAGCCATGCCTACAGCCCCCTTTTACCGTCTTTGGGTCAGAGGCAGGCAGGATCCAAGCACGCCGGCTTTCTGGGATCTACATGGGAACCCATAAGATAAGAAGCGTTATATCACTGTGGCTCTAGGCACAGAGTTGGGCAACAGCCTGTGCCTTCCCTCAGCAAAGTCACTGCTGGGCACTGGTCAAGCTTTGGCCCAGAGCCCTCCTGCCAGGTCCTGTACAAAGGCTGATGGTTTTAGGGAGTGGGCATCCTGGTTGCTCCTGGGTGCACTCACCTGGAACCGGGGGTCAGTGTCACTCTCCCCAATCTGCTGCAGCAGCTCCCCGCTGGTCTGGCCCACAAGGCCGGCAGCCTGCAGGAGATTCTGGCGAGGCTGAAAAGTACGAGGTAAAATCAAAACCAGGCTCATAAGCAACCCCTAAAACCTCACTCAATTTTTCCCCTTGGGTTTCACCCTCCTCTCAGTCCCACAGCCCCTCGTGCCCCCCACCTCAGCGCTGGCAGGTTGTGCTGTTTTCAGCAGGTCCGAGACAGCGCTTGCCAGGTTCTTGGCTGCCTGCAGAAGCTGCCGCCCATTCCCTCCTTCATCCTCCATCAGCGCAGCCAGCAGCTTCACACCCTTGGACATCTCCGTCAGGTTGGAAGAGATGGTGGTGACAGCACAGCCCACGGCAGTATAGTCTGTGTCCGCTGGATCCCCTGCTCAGGGAGGAGACCAGTCAGGATGAGATGCACTTCAAGTGATTCTCCAAGAGCACCCCCGACCTTGCGACCAATGTGATACTCCTTCCTGCGAGCCAGGGGAGAGACCCTCTGGCTCCTAAGCCTGAAAGGTTGTCACATTAGCTGAGTCTGGGCAGCAGGACCTGTAGAAAGGCAGCTGCGCCATGCCACGATTGTACCCAGCGCTATGGCAGGGGCTGGACAACAGGCCCCCGGTCTGTGGGACGGCTGGTCAGGCAAGGACCTGGAGGAAGGGCTGGACTGGGCACAGGCAGGGACGTGAAGGCAGGGTGAGCTGTGGGGGCATGGCAAGCTCTACAGGCATGTTAGTAGCCGTCTGAGCTGATTTAGTTCTAGTTAAGGGAGGCTAGGTCCTCTGGTCTCTGATGGACCACAGGAGCCACGACCTTCAGCCGGGCAAGACACACCAAACTTTTTCCAGAGATGGGGCACCCCTCTTCTGCAAGCCTCCACACACCTGCAGTGAGGTTGACCACTGAGGCAGTGCCAGCAGTAATAGCATCCACCTGGGAGTGGATCTCATGCTTCGACTCATCCATCTTGTTCTTGCGCCACGCTTTGGATGCCTGCAGTGGGGAGAACAGGGTCAGGTTATGGTGGTGGAGGTGGTAGGTAGCTGCACCCATGCTCGCACAAGGAGATGCAGGGAAGCAGAGATGAGGAAGAGAAGAGCTCTGACCACAGAAAACTCCCCAGCCCATCCTGACAAAGCTACACAACCAAGCATTCCCTCCACTCTTGCCCCCACAGTGGGACACAACCCCACCTCTTTGTAGGCAGCAGATCTTCTCAGGAGATGCTGAAACCTGTCCTGGGAATGTGGCCAACCTCACCCAGCCCAGCCAAGAACCTCCAGCAAGACTCCCCCCAGCACCCTGCCTTCACCCAGCACTCACAGCATCCTGTCCGAGGGGCGGCAAGGTCTCAAAGTCGTCCAGCGTGGCCTGGGCTGCGTGCACAGCCTGCATGCTGGAGTTGATGGTGCCAGTCAGGGCTTGCTGGGCCGAAGTCTACAACACACAGATTGAGGTACTCTGGAGGCTTGAAATCTAGGCTTAAATATTTGGCTTGCACACACCCCCCACCCCAATGTGCTGTTGATGACAGTGCTCTAAGTAGGTGTCTCCACAAGGGTGAGGTGCCACCTAGGAAAAAGTGGGGTCTCCTCTCTGCACCTCCCACTGGGAAATGCCCTGTCCCACTGTGGCCACAAGCAAGTCTCACAGTTAAACAGCTCTCAGAGAGCAGATGCACGGGGATCATACAAGGGTTTTACAGCAAGCTCCACAGCAGACTCAGTAGGGCCAAATGAAACAGCCTACTCATGGCCTTTCCAAGCACTTCTCCAGCTGCAGTGGTGGAGGACACGGGGGGCACCAAAGCCAGGCACAGGGCTCTGCGGCAAGTCACAGTACTGGTGGGGATGGCCAGGCACAGCAGTTCGGGGCACCTCAACCTGAAGGAGAGGCTTTGGCTGCTGGCCAAGGTGTAACTCAGGTTTGCAGAGCAGGTGTGGGAGGACACGAGCTTGGCCAGGCCAGCAAGCACATGAGGCCAGCAGCACAGAGTTCCTGCCATGAAGACCCAGCAAGCCAATGCTGAGTCATGAATGTAAATGGATGGGTCTACACGAGCCCAGTGGACACCTTTCAGGATTTGTACACTACAGTGGGCACAGGGAGAACTTACCAGGGGAGGCATGTGCCCTCGGTGCATCTGGCCACTGGTGATTTGCAGCTGAGGCTGTGGCATCGTGCCCACCTGGAAGTTTTCTGGCCCTCCAGCCCCTGTCCGCATGATGGCTGGCAGAGCCACCGAGCCCAGCTCTGCCTTGCCAACACGGTTAAATTGCTGCTGCAAGACAGTTGGCCTGAAACGGGGAGAAACATCACGTCAAGAAATGTCTATGGCCCCGGCACCAGGCTCTCCTAGAGTGGCAGAATCCCTCTACCAGAGGACTGGCAGCTCTTTCTCCAGACACACTGTACTGCAAGCCTGGCTGGAGTCTGCTCTCCACTCAACTTCTGCTTGGCAGCTAATTTACTCCTTGAGGACGTACTTTTTTGGAGACACAGAGTCTTCCAGCATGGTGGACTCCTCATCCCCCTCCAGTCCAAAGTGGTCTTTGCTCTTTTTCTGCAGAGGGGAAGAGAAAACGTGTCAGCCAGCACATACCTCCCAGCCCTCCCCACCTTGTACAGATCAAGCACTGTACAAGGGCCAGAGGACCACCCTACCCCATCTCCAGCTCCTCCAGCAGCACCACACCAGTGGCTGGCTGGAGGCAGCTAGAAAGGACACCCTGCACCCCTCTCTAGAAAGAAGCCAGTTATCAGGGCTCTTCCTAGCACAGCCTCACCTTTTTGAGGATGATATCAATGTATCCTGCAATCAGCTGAGCGATCTGCTCCCCTTCCGTCGTCTGCACCGAGTAGTAACCATCCTGGTAATCTCCAAAATCCTGCAACAGCAGGGCACAGGGTAGCACCGGAGCAGGGCACTGGCGGCCGTCCTGAGCCCCTCTGGTATGTGCTAAGCACCCAAGCACCCGCCTCCAAAACAAGGTCCAAGAGAGGCACCAAGGAGGACAAGGCTGCCCCACCATGGGGCAATACCCAAGAGAGGGGTTGGAGTGAGAGCAGTCCCCCACGAGGCCACCACCAGGGAGGGGACATGGAGGACTAGGACTGGTCCCTACCAGAGTGAAGCTCTTGGGTGATGCTGCCCAGCGCTTGATGTTGGTCAGGCTCCACTCCTGAATCACTTCCTTGGTCTTCTCGTCCACACGCATCACGCATTCCTTGGTGATGCCCAGCAGTCGTGGCACCAGCTTGTTCTTCCCCTTCATCTTCTCCTGTAGGCCGCAACGCAACAGAAAGGATGTGGGCTGCCCCCAGCACTGATCCATCCAGGCAGAGACCTTTAAAGGCTCCCTTGGCTACCAAACACCTCCAAGGTCACACTTTCAGGTGGTGACAACCATGACACAGGACTTGAAAATTACAGAAGTGGGAAGGCAGCACACATGGAAAGCCAGAACAGGTGGACAGGGGAGACACAAGGAAAACTTGGAGGAACATGGGTTGAGGGGTAGCAGCTGGATGGAGACACAACAGATGGAGAAATGCTGGAGAAGGGGAATTTTTGCCAGGAGAGCTGCTACTTTACCTTAACCAGGAAGAAGGAGACCCCATAGGTCTTGAGGGAACGGGCAAGTTTCACATAGCGAACTTTGGCCTCAATCTCACTCATGTTCCCACAGTTCTTGTGGGCCTGCGAGAGCAAAGGGAGAACATCATGCTAGCACCACAGTCCCCTGGCTATGCCACCATTACCCAGTCACACCCCTTCCTGGTTCTCCCAACCCACTGGCATCCCTTGCCCCTGCTACAGTGTCCCTCTGACCTCTGGAACCTCAGAATCTGCCTTGTCAGCCCACCTACAGCTTCCTACTCCTGTTTCTCACCCGCTGAGCAGCAACATGTTGCCTCCAGAGACAAGAGCAGCCTCAACCTTTAGCAAGGTGGAAGAAGAAGCCCAGGTCTCAACACTCCCCTGCACGTACCATGAAGATCTTACGCTCCCCTTTCTGCTTGATGTACTCCTTGGGCAGGAAGTCCTTGAGTCTGCCAAGAGACAGCCAAGCCAGCTGTTAGCAGCAGAACCTGAAGCTGGCATTTGTTTTCAACTACAAAGAGGCCAAATCCACAGTCTCGGACAAACCCCTGCCCAGGCATGGTCTGGGAGTTTTTGGGGGCAGGAAGGGTGTGGGAGAGGTTACTGCAGGAATGAAGGCTGCCCCAGGAGCTGCCCTGCTGACAGTGGAGTGTGGGTGCCAAGGGTGCAGCCCCTCATAGCATCAGGGCAGGCATATGGTGGGCTGGGGTCCCGCACATCAGAGCTGGCTGCATGTCCCAGGGGTGACAGAGGGAGCAGGATGGGGGGCTGGCAGCCCCTGCAGACAGTGCGGAACTCTACACTTGGGCACTGTGTGGCAGTGAGGAGAGGGGTTGCTCCAGAGACACGTGCATACCCAAGCCCCATGTGCTTGTGCAGTGAGGGTGCTGCCAAGCTACGCAAGCCACCTGGGTCTCCCCAGGACACTCACTCCAGAAAGCCTGGCTTGTGCTTCTGCTCGTTGTGTGGCCCAAACTGGATCTGGCACTGGTATCCAGCGAACTCGCGGTCTTTGTCAAAGGAGACAGGTTGGGAACCGTTCAGGATGTCATCACGAGCCTGCATAGCAAGAGAAGACACCGCCATGGGCTGGGCAGCCCTGCCACTGCTCCCCTCCACACCAAACAGGACCTGCTTTCCAGACTTCAAAGAAGTGGCCCTGAAAAAGAGGAGGAACCAGGACCAGGCTGTCCCCCACCAAGCCTGGGAGAGGAGTGGCAGCAGCACTTCGTGATGGCTCCTACCAGACAGAGGAGACAAAGGATCCCCTGGGGAGCTCTGAAGTATGCTGAAAGCAGGGCTGGGGCTGCATGCTAGCTCTAACCTACAAGATAACTGGGCATCCCAAAGTTCCGCCCACGGTGGCCCCTGGA